ATTTCAACTCAATATAATCGTTAAGAGAAGCATTGGAAGTTATTTTATTTACTTTAAACCAAGATGCCAGCGACTGGCATTTGCACAAGGAAGCAACATAAGAAAAAAATTAAACATTTGAGAATTAAACGTAAAAAAAAATTAATTTAGAAAATTTTAGTTATTGAAGTTTGACTGTATTTCTAAAAACTACATATAAGAAGTATTACTTGACAATAGTCGAAACAGTTGTAAGATAAGCCAGTAATTTAATAAAATTTAAACAGTTTTGTTGCTGGTATTCATTACTGTTTGAACTTTTCCATTCAAAAATAGTTTCTTTCGTTAAAGAATTAAATTAAAATTTTAATTTAATTTAAAAAATATTTTAATTTTTAAATCAGTTTTTGAAGTTATATTATAAATTTATATTGTACCGAATTATACTTCAAATAATAGATCAATTATCTAAGAAACTATACTTCAATTATGTCTAATCACATTCATATTTTCTATTATAATTCGTTATCATTTTAAGGTGTAGTTTATTTTGAAATTTATAAATATTAATATATATATATATTTATTTATATATATGCATATAAATATTAATATATATATATATATATATGCATATAAATATTAATATATATATGCAATACCTAATTTATAACTGTAAATAGATAAGATTATCATAACTTTGAGACTCATAAATATATATACTAACAGCTTATCGGTATAACAAATATTTGTACTGAAATAATTAAAGTTACTTTTGAAAATTTCAAAGTAAATACATAATATTAAAAGCAGTAAATACATAATACAGAAATGATAGCCAATTAATTAATCTATAAAATTATTTAATATGATATATAACTTGAAGTTATAAATACAGAATTTGTTTATATTGGATATATTTTTAAAAATACTATAAATAAAAAAATATGGTCATATCTAGGCAATTTCAAAACTAAATAAAAATCTTTAAGCAATCAAATGAATCAACATAAATATTCTTATCTGCATTATTTTTTCAGTAAATGTTTTATAGTTTCAATAAACTCGAGTTAATCAAAATTAAACGTATATATTGCCTCCAAGAGGAAGTTTTTTAGACTTCCTTTTGAGATATATACATATGAATCAGGTGTCTTCAATAGTAATCAATTCTCCTTACATATTTTATTAAAGCTTTTTATTCCAAATAAAAACTTGTTAATGTTTATATCAAGTTAGTAAGCAAAAATAGTCACTTACTAACTTACATGGTGGTAAGTTTACAATTTAATATTGGAAACTTACCCAATATCTGACAGAAATGTTAGTAGTTATCTTTAAAAAGAGAGTGGAGCGTTCGAATGTGAAATCGATGGTGTTCAAAGTTTTAGGCTTTTACTCGAAAACGAGATTTTTAACACAGTAATGAGATAGCTACCAAACTTGCAAACAATATATATTGATTCCGACCGCTTAAGGCGCTTCCAGAGACCTATATAATCCAATCAACTCATGAGGATTAAACACGAAAGTACTGATAGGTTTCCCAGTCTAAATAGATCTTAACTTAGAATAACAGTTGATTTCTTGATGGTATTTTGGTTTCTTAACAAAAACGATTTTGTCAACTACTGGAATGTTTCTATTTATGTTTTCAATAATAGATAGATTATTTAAGTTTGAATGAATTCAATAATTTCAAAATTTCTGTAAGAAAATAAAGAAAACTCTGATACTGAAGCTCTGCTAGAATCTAATTAATCTAATTTAATTTTACTTACAAAGTTAATAAATTAGATAAATTAAAAAATTGTTGAATCATTTTTATAATGGTTAAAATGTATATCTAACTTCTTCATCTAGTTTTCAATGCTATTATTGGTTATTATAATTAATATCAAAGTAATTAAGACGGTCATACCTTTTTTATAACAATAAATAAAATTATCGTCTGAGATGAATAACCCAAGAGCTTTTCAATATTATAGTTAAAACAATTGTGTAATTATTTGTTTAATATACAATATTAAATATACAACGAAAAACACGACATTTTTTTTAAATATATATATATTTTAATTCAATTATTTTATTTACAAATTCTAAATTTGAATAATTTCACATTAACATTCAACATAAAGTCCCTTTTGAATTGCAAACAATTCTTAGGATCATTGCGTGAGATAAAATATCACAATGTGTGTTGTATTAATAAAATAATATCAAGCATATATACTACAGTGAGGTCTTCACAAAAATAATAATAGCTGATATAAATGGTCATTCAAAATGGAAAATTCCGAAATCAAGGTTATTGGAGAAAATTTGTGAAGAATGCTCTGTGACCCATACAGATAGTAACAGCTAGTAATGATTATGACAAAAACAGACTTATGTATTATATTCGATTATTATCTTAAAAACATTATAACATTAACTTATGTTTATAAGGAGATTTATATCTTATATTGTATGTAGTACATGTTAAATGTAATAATTCATAAATAAGTACATAAGTTGTTATTAAAATCATTAGAATCATAAGATAGTTCAAAAGAAAATTATTTATTATAATTTTCTGTTGCTTTTATAATAACATTGTGTCATGCTAAAATAGATTGGGAAAAACCAATGAGGATATATTTAGTATATTCCAGCAATTTAAAAATGATACACATTTTACTTAAAAGAGTCCGCTGTTGCTCAGCACTTAGCAGTGAATCATATTTTATTAAGAAATTTCATAAAATATTCGTTTAAAACCATAGATAAGTGTTATGATATTTATTTTCTTTTCAAGACTACTTTAAAATGCTTAAATGTATATATACATATATACGCTTAAAAATACAACTATAGTCTCACCTTTCAGCAAACAATGAAAGGCCTGGTGTAACAGGTAGAAGACAGAGTTCGTGGTACTGTAACTTAAATGATTTTTTTTTTTTGATTTGTGTAAGGCTTGTTTCTGAAAAGATAACCAGTGTTTTAGTTGCCTGTTTATAAATAGACCAACCCCTATAGTTTGTGTTATGATTTGTAGTCTTTAAGCAAATTCAACCGAATATTTAACATTAGTTTTGGGAATTTTTGTTGCTAACAATAATTATAACTGAAACCTTTTTTACCAAGAGCACTTATAATAGTTCCGGGATCTACATCTGATACAATACCTTTCATGATAATAGCAAGGCGTTTAAAACTTTAGTTGATAACTGTAATAATTTAATTTTTTATCAACAAAATATTTTATTATGAAACTGAAGTTATTAAGTCAGTTTGGATTCTATGTAATTTCGTGTATATTATTTCCAAATAAAGGAACGCTAATTAGGCGTTATATGAACAGCGTTCACCCAGGTAGATTGAAGATGCTTTTAAATGTTTTAGGTTGATTGATCAGCTAATGCTGTAAATTTACATATTACTAGAGAGTCTTTGTAGATGTGCTATCCTTATAAATTTTGTTTTTTTAACACTTTTTATGTGGCCTTTTTGAGCACTTATAAGTAAAGCATAAAATTAACATGATATTCTATGCCTGACTGATTTAGTATTTTGTTTTTTAGATTATTTGTGTAGCTGATGCTGCTGAAGACACAGTACAAATATTTTTTTTTTTTTTGGTTAGTACACTTTTCATGGATAACGTATCCTATTTCTCTATTTCAAGGATAAGCAATTATTTGGAATGCTTATCAAATGTCCTCAATGTGAGAAAGGATTTTAAATATTCATTTAAATAAGTGGGTGTATATGCAATTGACAAGGATAATAAAATGTTCTTTATTATTATTATATTTTTTTCTTGTATAAATAAGCAAAAAAAATCCAAATCAATATAACAAAATTTAAAAAATTAATTAATAAAATAAGATAAAATAAAATAGATGTAAATAAATGAATAATTCATAATTACTAGTAGTTTCACTACTTTTGATGGATAATCAAACGATCAATATTTTGTATTTTGTAATAAAGAGTAAAAGAGAGAAGAGATAGAAGAGTAAAAGAAGAAGATTTCTAACCACTTTTGGATCTTTGACTTTTGGATTTTTGATCGCACATTGAATTAGAAGCGAAATATAAAAAACTATAACTATCCATGAGGAAAGGCCCAATAGGAAGTCAACACAGATACCTTCTGTTTAGTAAAAATATTAAATATTAAAACAGGATTACGACTAAAAACGTCTTGCAATTCGATCAAGCATCAGGACTGGCTATATTCACTATGTTGACTTATGAAAAAAATTCAATTTATTATTAGTTTTTCATGGTGAATTGACCTAGATTCTAATGTTAATTGGACGAATATACTTGTATAAGTGTTTAATATGTACATAAACATTTTTATTTTTTTATATACATATGTTGTAAATTTAAATAGATTGCGTTTTCAGTTTGAATGCATACAAGCTTTAAAATCGTTAAATAAGGTAATATTGAACTTGATAAGAGTAACAATGAAACTTGAACTCAATTAATATCTTCGATACATGATAATTAATGTTAGTCAGATATATTTTTTAAGTAATTAATACTTAATTGATAATTGATGTTTTATTAACAATTAATATAAAAGTATTAATTATATATTAATAATTAATGAACAATTAAAATAAAAATATTATTTAAAAAATTATTAACATTTAGTCAGTCATTGAATGTATTCAACTACACATTTTTCGCGGTTTCGTACCATTATCATTTATCATTATATCGAGTAGCTACTGTATATCGTGGTGTATAATATACACTGCTCTTCAATGATAATATGTTGCATGTCAAAAAACTTTAATTATGGAAATACAAATATTTCAAATTACTGATCAGTAGACCAAAAAAAAGAGAATAAACTACTCGTACAATAAACAAACAACAATGAATTTAAAAATCACATGCTTTGCAGATTATTGCAAAAAAGTCACAAATTAACGCCAATAAATTTTGCATACTTTTAACATACTCGTATTCGTACTCGTATTTTATACATTGTACGTGGTTTTGTTGTTAATTACCTTTGAATGTGCAAACCCATCTGGATTCATACTAGGCATCAGATATATGTCGGTGGTATTAATTAAATATGCCACATCGAAATTAGTCTCATAATTGAATAGTAAATATTGCGCTAAGTATACAAGTAATTGACGTCCAATGGTCTCATCTCCATGCATATTGCCAATGTACTTCACTATTGGCGTCAACAGATTGCGATTTTGTACATTTTTACCAATTTGCAAAACAATCAGGTTGCGTCCCTCCAATGAACGTCCAATAGTCTGTACTTTAGCATATTCAGGATATGCTTTTTCCAAACGTGCAAATAAATCTTCAATCTGTTCCTGTGTTTGATAGTATGGATTCTGTAAGAATGTTTCATCTTCCTTGATAATGAAACCCTGACAGAATGTTGGCACTAAACTTATGCCAATTAACAGCAACAACGGCAAAGTGTGTATCAGCATTTTGTTTGTTATTTTGTTGGTTGTTGTTATTGTTGTTATTCTTAGTATTCTTGTATTTTTATTTTTTGTGTTGGTGTAACTTTTTGTGACGACGTCAACGTAAATAAGGCTGCTGCAGTATTTTAACGTGGGCGTTTAACTTCAGCCAATCCTTGTTTTATAAGAAACTTGCTATTTTTAGATACAAATTTTCAGCTCCAATACAACAACAATGAACGTTTCATACAAGTTCAATTTGGTTAATGCGTTCCTTGTAATGACGTATTTTGTTGCTGGTATATTCTTTGGTATACTTGGAAATATCTTGCAAATTATATATACGGAATATAATTCGTATAGAAAATTTGTTTATTTTTCGTTTTTTTCTTTAACTGTATCTGGTGCTTTAGTAAAGTATGTCAACAAACAAGTCTCCACTTCGTGTTATCACTTTGGTGTAAATTGTTATAATACTTTGAACAATTTAGTTCTTTCCTTTTTGAGATTATTTTACTTGATAATTATTCATTTTCAATCAAATAGTGCTTCACATATTTTTTTTATTATTATTTAATAGAAATAACAAACAAACGAAATACTCGTTTTAGCCCCTTTGATGTTTAGCTCCAGTTATGGAGATGCCACAGTTTTCACGGCACGCACTCTAGCAACAATACTCCGTGCTTCTACTACTGCTTTCTTGCTCGTTTCAATTCAAACTGAATGAATTTTATTTTTCCATTCTGATATATTGCGCTGGTGACGAATACAGCGATAACAATACAACAGCAACGACTGCAACAACAAAATTAAACTGCTCTTTGTATGCTCAAACAAGCAAAAAATGAAAGCAAGGGTGGGTTAGTGGTTGTTATCTTGGCTTCAATGCTCTTAAAAAGTGCTTAAAGTGCTTTTTATTTTAAATACAAATGTTAAGAGAGAGAGCAATGATAAGCGCTCAGATTTTATTTCGCTCTCTTAGCACAAAACTTATTAGCTTTTACGCTAAATATTGTTAATGCATACTGAAAAACCGAATCGGATACGAATTTGATGTAAATAAATTTTTACATTTGCTATGCATGAAAATAAATGTGTATTTATGGTGAGGGAGTTATTACAAAGAAATGCAAGTTCATGCGATGAATTGTGGGAACTATTAAGTTATAAAATTATAAAAATAAACACAAAAAACTTAAAAATGTTTGTTTGTATATCATAGGATAGTAATATACCATACAGAATCCAGAACGCTTTTTGGAAACGGTTTTATTTTAGGGAGTCACTTATTATTAACGACCAACTGACGATTGCAATTTCTGTTTGCAAGGAAGCGAACCAAGCAGACTTCCATAAGAACAGAGCAACTACACAACAACAAAGGTGCACAGCTAGCCATGATTAGTAATGTCATTCACTCACTTACTTAAATGGCTATAACAACGCGTTACCAAGTTTCGGCCTGCCACAGGTTTGTACAGGCGCGTCTGCTGCGTGCGCACCTTTAGTGTGGTTAGTGCTTCCTTAACTTAATCACTCCACCAGAGATACGACATACCTCAACGTTTTCTTCCTCCAACTACTGCTTCAACTACATTTTTCACTTAACCATTTTCATCCATTCTCACGACATTATAAAGTCAGCGAAGCCGCTAGATGATAATTCATTGAGTTATATTCAATATCGTGATAAAGCTCGTACAGCATGCGTTTCATTCGGATGCTACAGTCATCGCCAACTTGTAGAGGAGTAATCATATTACGAAGAACTTTTCTCTCGAAAACTCCCAGTGCTCCCATTTATCATTCTCTGATAGCTTCCAGTTACACAAATAAGATGAGTGACCTAATACAGCGTAAGTGTTGTCTGCAAGAATGAGCTTTACATCCCAGTTGCTTACTTAGTCTTTAGAAGCACCTATTTAAAATGGTTATTCGTAGTTTGATCTCTAGGCAGACAGCGGTGCAAAGATAGATGAAATTCTTGAGAGATTCAAAATTACAGTTGCTAGTTACTAAGCTCGGCACCTGAGCGACATACATTTATGCTCTAAACACTCTAAACAGCTGTATGGTCAGCCAAAAATTAAAATTAATTAGAAAAACAATATTAAATCAATTTTAAAAAATTAGTAAATGAACAATAATAAGAATATTATGTACTTTGAAATATTTTAATAACATCTATTTTTAATGAAGGTGGTAATAAAAAACTAACATGCTAAAACAAAAAAACTTTTAACGAACAATTTTGCTGTAACGAAGCTTTTAAAGCTTTTTGTAACATTTTTATCTGGGCTTTGAAAAGTTTTCATTACCGAAAAAACAGTGTTCAGAAACACTGTACTAGTGAAATTAAATTATAAATCTTTACTAGCAGTCTCAACTGAGTTTATTAGGTAAGTACCTATAGTACGATAAATAAAAAAAAAATTTTTAATATAAGATTTTGTTTGTGTTAAGTAAATTTTTATTATTTGAAACATAGATTTATAATAAAAAAAAGAACTGGAAACATATGTGTGTAATTCAGAATATATACAACTATAATTTATCTTGGTACCATTATCTCTACTGAAAGTGTTGCTAAAAAGATATAAATATCAAGCAAACATTCGGTGTACAAGGTACTTGAAATTATTAAATAAAATAAAAAATTATCAATGAAAACTTTTTCTATTGTCTTTAAAATAGGCTTTAACTATGTGAAAACTGATTTATTTTTGAAACTAATTTTTCTGCCATGTTCTTTTCTGGATGCAATCTTCTCGAAATGCATTCTTCGGGACAGAAATATAACCTTCAGTAGAAAGAGAAGCCACACAAAGCCATATGAGAGAGTACGTTTATCCTCAATCACATTCGTTTTATTAGTGTTGCAAAACAGGGTATTATTACGTTTTGTTTTCCGGCTCTGGATACTTTTTATACAGAATGTATATATACATATTTTATTTTTACATATTTTCTTTTCAATTATCAGGAAAATCATATTTATAGAAAAGTTAAAACACCTACTTCTCAAACACGGTATCTTTGAGAATTAATATCAAATATTAATTTCAGAGCTTAAAAACGCTTAACTAAATGTGTCCACTCATTTAGAAACTTCTACACATAATATTTTAACATTATCAGAATTTTTATTTTCTATAATAAATGTAAATTAGTCTATTTCCAACACCATAATAACAAAAGCTTAGCAATAGATGATACATACATTACTTGAAGTAAGTACATAAGTACATGACATTTGTAGTCACGTTTTCTACTTAAAACCTCAAAAACCAAAACGCTATACAGATGCCCTAATTTACTTTAGAACTTTTCAAGACGAAAACAAAAAATTTACAATTGAACCAAAGTTTCATTGTTCGCACCAGAGGTGAACCAGGGCGACCTTGCAAAAAACTAGGGAATTACCTTATCTACAACAACAGCAAAGAAAATTGATTACGTTAATATTGAAAGACTTCCTACGCTTTCCACTTTAAATAGTTTTTTGTTTAAATTTCTGCATAAACAGAATATCTTTTTATCGTACCTAAATGTATTAGAAATATCAGTATCAATACATGCAATACATTAGAAATAAGTGTATTTAACAATGCATAAGGAAATACAATAGATAAATTGTATAATAAAGAACAGTGAAAAGAGTTATATACAGTTTCATCATTGCTTAATTATAACTTAAATACATAGACACAGAATGTACTTAGTTACATTAGCTACATTACATATTATATTTTAATATTTATTTAAATAAATTTAATTAGTTACGTATTATTCAAATAAATATTGCGAGCTATTTTTAAATGCGCGAAATGAAATTTTTATAAGTCAAACCCTATTGCTACGTTTCGTGTTTATATAATGTAGATATATATTTTGTATTCCTCGACATCTCTTTTAAAACAAATTCACATATGTAAAGTACATTCTGCTATTGCAAATATTTGTATAGAAGTTCTCCACAGAATTTTTTTGTAATATTAATTTTTTGTTTCTTTATTTTTTTGTCACGTTTTTGGTGCTGTTAGTTAGCACCGACTTTTGCTTATGTATTGTTCGATGTATATCGGGACTTCGAACCGGAATTTTTTCCGTTCCGGTTTTCGCTTCGGCTAAAATATCGGTCTTTTTCGGTTTTCAGTTTGGTTCCGGTTTCAAACCATGGTATATATTGTATTAATTTAATTTATTAAGACAATTCATATACAATACCACATTTTCAATATATAACACCATTACTTTAATAAATAATATTGAAGATTTTTTTTATTTTATAAAGTCTAAATTATATAATTCATAATTCAATGCTGTAAACTGCTTCAAAGATTACGTTTAGGTTTAAAGGTTACAGAGATATGAAAAACTTAAAGACAATACGAGAACAGACTGCTTATAAAAAATTTGGACTAAATAAAGTGGGCTTTATTGATCCACTAAATCTATGTAGTAACCCACAAATTCAAAAATAACTTCATACATGACTGGATGAATAACAGCCTAATAAATTACTGGGAATGTTTTACTGCTTGCTGCAGGCAAAAACATCAATAAACCCTATTCACTTTATACCATAAACTGCCTTAAGACTCAGTAGAAAGAATATTAAAATCTATTTTGCAATAATGAGAACATTACATAATCAATCACTAAAGAAAATAGCAATAGAAAGAAATCGCATAAAGACGATAGGTTTCAAAAAATTTCCGAATTTCCGATAAACGTGGCTAGAGAAAACCCTTTAAAGTATATAAAACAAATTAGAAAAAAATCAGAAGTTATGTGAGTTTAATTTATATTATTTCGTGTAGTTTTTGACTAAAAGAAAGCTAAGAAATTTTTCTTCTAATTTCAAAACTATATGCTTTGAGAGTATAGGGATATTCTCAGTAAGTTTCCACAATTCTAACTTGTTTATTATAATTTCTTGATCGCATGCCTTTTTTACATTGAAGAAGTGAAAGCAAAAATAAAATAATTAAAATCGCGTGTTCTTCTTAGTTTTTATTTCTGGGCACAGAAACTATTTCGCGATAGCATCAAAGACGGTACTACTAGAAATCTACAAAAAAAGTCAGACAAAACTAGAGAAGCACAATGTTACTATGGTAACTATGGTACATAAAATAAGCGTTTGTCGTATCACTAATGACCATGGAAATATATCTGTAAAAAATTGGAATTTAATTAGTTCGTCTCTAAAAATATTAAATAAGTTAAGTTTTGTAAATAGTATTACATTTTTCCCCTATTAATTATTATTCCACAATAATAAAAACTAAGCATATGTAACAGTTATAAGGTTTTACATAGAAAGTAAAACAGTTGAAATACTTTATTTTATAGAAAACCTCTCCATCTATCATTGAAACTAAAATTTTCTTATAAAACAATTGAAATTTAATGAAACAAAACTTAAAATATATTACTTAGTGCTCCTTAAGAGAAGACTTTTTTGTTTGATAAAACTGTTTAAAAATGTTTGTCTGTTTTAATTTTTTCTTCATTTCTTTAAATGCAATAATGCTTTTTTGATCATGTATGGTATAACAATGGTACACTAAAATTTGTCTCCAAGTAAAAAAAATACGTGACTCAATTGAACTAAATTTGATGCATACTATTTATTCTCCTCTCTGGTCTTTATTATTCAAATATAATAAAGAAGAAAACAAATTTAAACACATGAAATAAATATATATATAATATATATATATT